CTCCTCCTCCTCCTCCACCTCCTCTGCTTAGGCTCACCTCAGCGTCCTGCTGCGACCCGGATCCAACCCGCTTTTGATCAGCGTTTCTCCTTCTCCTTCTTGTCGTTGTCGTCGATTGCTGCAGCGGGAAAGGCGATGACGAGCGCTTGCCGCTTCTCCTCGTGGTGGCCTCTCGCCCTTCGTCGAGACCGCCAACGGCCTCGACAGCAGCACGATCGCCGGCACAAGGAGGCGTTAGGGGATGCTCCCAAGACCCCGCCGACTTCAGCCGGCTACGGGCACCTGGTGCGTCTCGAGCTCGACGGGAGGAGGGGTCGACAGCAATGGCACCAGCGGGGGCGCGCGCCGAGACGTCGCCGCTGGGGCTAACGCGAACAGCGGCAACAACCGACGGAGTGAAGTCGTCCAAGAGGCAAGCGGCCAGCGTGAAGGCCACCCAGACGGCGTTGGTCTGCCGGAACAGCACGGAGACGCCGCCCGCCTGCCGAGTTGCGGTTCACAACGCGAAGAGAACCAACCCACCAGCAGTTAGTTGGGCGGTAGAAGGAATCAACGCGAAGTGATACGGTCAATATATGCGTTTTGGCAGCGAGTGTGTGCGGCGGGTCGAACAACCAAGAACGGAGTACGGACGCGGGGGGACTGACGACGGTTCGCTGGCACCTCCGAACAGGTCTGTGCTGCGTGTGGACGGTGTGTGTCCTTACGAGCCAGGGACAGAACGGCGGCAGGCGGAAACACGTCTGCTATATAAATCTGGCACGCCGATCAGCTCTACCCGCACCATAGACCGATTTATCAGGCCGCGCACATCTCGCTCAGGTCTCCGTAGAGCTATTTGAGGGTGTAGACATGAAACATTAACAAAGTACAAAACTCAGGAGGATCCGGTGTGGACTTCTCTCGGAAACAAATTGCGTTGAGTCTCGAGTCATAAATCAACCAATCAACCCGCACGGCTGTGTATGTCTGCCGTCAGTCTCCCCTCCCCCTCACCAGCGCACTTGCAAGTCTCCTGCCCCATCCCCCTCCCCTCGGGGGCCCCGTGGCCAAGAGATAGCTGAGAAGAACGAAGAACGTGGCCCCGGTGTCCGTGTAGAGCAGGAAGGAGAAGAAGAAGGAGACGGGGTAGAGCCACAGCAGCAAGGCGTGGGCGAGCGCCTTATCGGGAGCCTGTGCCCAATCGGAAAAACGGTTTCATGCCGAGGGCTGGGGAAAGGCAGCTTGAACCAATATATTGCTGGTACTAGCAAATAGCTCACACGGAGTTACCACTTTCACTCAAAGACAGAGCAACACTCTGGCTCAAAATCCGAAGCACCGGGGAATGGAGGTTTGGAGCTGCGAAAAAATCCGGATATGCTCGTGAAGCACTCTGCTGGCTCGGTCACCGTTCCTCTTAAAATCACCCATGGCGAATACCAGCAGCAGCGGCGGCGGCGGTAGGGGCCACAGTTGAAAGGCTAGGGGGCGGGAGCCATGACTCGCGCGATCTATGCACAAACAACGCTTACAACACGGTAGACATACTCACCATGCGTCTCACAAGGAACGATCTCATCACCGCCAAAGTTCCCAGGGATAGCCCCCAGTTCGCCTGCCGCAGCACTTCCGCGGCGCATTGTTCCTGGCTGATGAAGAGGCCTGATACACGACTACTGGCAGTTGCCGTGCCTTGGAGCAGGAGGAACGCTTCCCTAAGGGCCGCTTCTAGTCGCGCGTACGCCACCGCAAACGCGTACAAACCTGGCGGTGTGGTGATCTTGGGATCCCACCTCCCTGCAGTGTCATGGAGCATGCAAACGGTTTGTTTTCGCAGCGAGTACAACAAGGTCGAGGGGTGTCACGCTGCGCGCGCCCGGACGGTTTGTGTACGTTAGAGTGCATGGGTCCTTTCTCGATTCCCCAAATGAGCAAGCGCTCCTTCAGGAAAAGTGGATGTTGATGCCACAATGAGCACAACACAAACAACGACAAAACAACAACAACAACAATAGCAACAACAACAACAACAACAACAACAACAACAGCAACAACAACAAAACGGAGACGCACCGCAGTGCTCACCGTAATTTCCCTGGCAATAGGCTTGAGCCTGGGGCACGTGGAATATCTCGTCCTGAAGAGATAAGAAGAGGGGTCGGCGCAAAGCGCAGACGGGGCCGGGGCCGGGGGCAGAGGATGCGTTTCAATGTACAGAACTTCCATCCGCCGTGTTGGATCGTTGAGCAGTCGAGGGCTGCATCACAGACAGATTCCTTGGATCAGCCAAAGCTGGCAAGACAAAGGTATCTTGTACAGAGCACGCGTCAGCTTTCGGTACGATGTGTACGAGCCCCCAATTCTCGTTCAACCGGAGACTCTAACCGCGATACGTGCTAGAGGGGTGTCATCTTGCGTCATACGCACTTGACCACTGCTGCCCCGCGGCTGCTTTGCCTGTGAGATTGCACAATCTCGAAACGATGTTTGACGCTGAAACGCCCAGTCGTAGACACCACCCTTACACAACGCCCCTCATCGTTGACTCGTTTGCACTTCTAGCTCTCTAGACTTGATGCATCAAGTCATTCAAGACGCTTTGCGCCGCAGTGCTGTCGCTACGTAGCCGTCACGCAGCACTAGCAGGATCCCTTCACTGACAACCTCTGGTATAACGTCATACATTTTTCGTCTACAAGCACCTTTCAGTGCATCCTTGGATTGCATAGTCTGCGACGTACATGGACGGGCGATCAAGACTTACAGGAAGGGTTGCCGCCGCCGCCAACGGACAAGGCACGAAACTTGGACGTACAGTAAGTTTACCGGCAATATGTGTATCGATCACCAATAGGAGAGCCACGGCCTTATCCGGACCACAGCAAGACCACTCGCGAATTGCCAACGTGATAACGTATTGTCGCGTAGCTGTACTGACTGACCATGTAGGGTTCGGGCGCCACAGAGTTGAAAGCCCAAGCAGTCCCGACAAAACATGCCGCAACCAGAGCTGCCACAACTATTGGCGCCGTGTTTGTATTGGTACTTCTGCTGTCGTTCCCACTCAGTCGGCGAAGGTCACTCTCCTGGCTCTCAGGTAAGCTGGAAGCCTTGCCTGCATGATGTGGCATTTTGTGCGAAGACCTGCGCACCACAGAGCCAGCACGGGCGGTAAGGATATCGACACAGGACAAGACAGACAAGACACCAGCAAGCGGCGTTCGTCGTGGTCTTGTGGTCCGATTGGCCCGATGACCCACGGGACAACTCTTCGCTCGGTTCCGGAGGCGTTGTTTTGGATCAAGGGGAAGGCGGTATTATTTGTCGGTCGGGAGGGTGGAGAAGAAGTAGGCCTTGGCGAGGGTCTCTGACTATCTGCGATATGCCCTACGGTGCATGTGCTGCATGCCGGAAGGCTTGGCTTACACCGGCACGAAAACGCCTTGTTGACCCCAAATATCGAGTAACATCAATGCAGCGCGTCATCTCAGACCTCCGTAGAATGAGGCAGACTCGCACCGTCCACATTTCAAAGAGGGCTCGGAACGAAAAGGGAGCACCGATGAAAAAAATACGACGGGGCTATCGGAGTGTGGGAAACCACCCAGCTTCCATCCGCATTTTCAGGTTTTTCTTGTGTAATACATTCTGCGCAACAGGCACCAGACAGTCCAAGTTCAGCCCACATGCCGTGCCTAGGCCGCTGGCACGCTCGGGGTCTTAAGCGTGTTCATGTGCTCATTTACCGCATATCTTGTGTTGGGCAGGTGAAGGCACCCAGAGAGGTTGTTAACGTGTGTCTCACTGTGCCCTTCGAACGCTTCTTTAGAATCAGAGACGAACAAGGGACAAGCGAAGACCCAAAGACTGCACGCACAACACTACACAGAAGTTGATAAGTTTTGAAGAAGATTTTCGAGTATTGACAAATTGTACACGCGGCAGGATACCACTCGTGCCTCCCCTTATCCGCCCCCGACCACCCTGTCTCCCGATCGAAGACCTTGCCAAACGGTGGAGATCAAGCGGGAGAAGGAGTGTGTCAAACACGCACCTATCCACATCTACCACAAAAACTCGGCAAGTACTCTAAACGCGTGGCGAAAGAGCACCGCCAAAACGCTGGCACTCAAACAAAAATGCCTTGAAACCGCGCCGCTCTTTCGCTCTTTCGTCCAATGAAACAGAAGCAAAATGGTACACGGCAGTCACTCATGAAGGCAACAAAGCCACGTCACAGAACCCCACACACCAAACCACCAATCACACAAGCCTTCGAAACTAATTGTCAGCTGTTGTCCTCGCTTATTGGTTATTGCAACTATCGTCTGACACGTCTACTAAAGACGAATGCCATTTCATCGCCCAAATCTCCGGAGATGGGAGAAAGTGCGGTGACGATTTACGGTGGAAATCTCCGACGAAACTACGTAAATTTAGTACTCCTCGCCGAAGTCCTCCTCCTCGCCTTCGCCCTCGGCAGTCTCGGCGCCGACCTCTTCGTAGTCCTTCTCGAGGGCAGCCAGGTCCTCACGGGCCTCGGAGAACTCTCCCTCCTCCATGCCCTCACCCACGTACCAGTGCACGAAGGCACGCTTGGCGTACATGAGGTCGAACTTGTGGTCGATGCGCGACAGAGCCTGGCAGTGTACACATTGTGAAGTAATGGCACAGCGGTCGGAGGAAAAAGTCGTCAGGCAAAAAGGTTGGTGAGAAATTCCTCAAGAGAAATATTTCCACAATCAATCACAACACTTGCCATGAATGCTCGGGCCAAACATGGAAGTATAAGCTTAGGTTTTGTCTCAATAAATAAAGAGTGTGGTGGCACCACCCGGGTGATGGTGAACTTTTTCCTCCCTCCTGTCCATCCGTCCATCAGTGGGTGGCAAAAGACAGCCATTGATTGCGATAAAAGATGGACTCAGCACGCAACAACAATGGACCGGTATCGCTTTTCATGCAGACGATCTACTACAGCATGTGGTGTTGGCCACGTCACTGCGAAGCAGGAACACAGCTGTCAACAATGTGCCATCTTTGCAACGGTGTTTCCCGCTGCGGTGATGACCCAAGAGAACACGACACACCAGATCGTCTGCGTGAAAAAGCGATGGATTCATCCTTGCTGGGTGGTGAGTTGATCTGTCATCGCAATCGATGGTTGTCTTGGCCTGTGTGGTGTCATTTGCCGATAGATGGTACCACAGCAGCATTCTGGCACGGCGGGCTGCACGACGTGATGCAAGCGTGCATGGCTGGTACTTGAAGCCAACAACAAAACAGCAGCTTCCCCCGCGCATAAGCATCGAGAGTGCTGGAAAGTTCCATTGTAACATGAGCGCTTCCCATAACCACGTGTCTACTGTTGGCAAAAGGAGAATGTGGAGCGCTATTGCTCGAGGAACGCACTTCTAAATACACTCCAAAACCTTGACCACATACAACGCATCATCAACACACGCACAAGACATGAAAAAGAGACGCACCTCGGCGATGGCGGTGGTGTTGGCCACCATGCACACGGCGCGCTGCACGCGGGCGAGGTCGCCGCCGGGCACAACGGTGGGAGGCTGGTAGTTGATGCCGCACTTGAAGCCGGTGGGGCACCAGTCCACGAACTGGATGGTGCGCTTGGTCTTGATGGTGGCCACCGCGGCGTTCACGTCCTTGGGCACCACGTCTCCGCGGTACATGAGGCAGCACGCCATGTACTTGCCGTGGCGGGGGTCGCACTTGGTCATCATGCCGGCCGGCTCGAACACCGAGTTGGTGATCTCCGCCACCGACAGCTGCTCGTGGTAGGCCTTCTCCGCCGAGATGATGGGCGCGTACGATGTGAGCATGAAGTGGATGCGGGGGTAGGGCACCAGGTTGGTCTGGAACTCGGTCACGTCCACGTTAAGGGCGCCGTCGAACCGGAGCGAGGCCGTCAGGGACGAGATAACCTGGGCCACGAGCCGGTTCAGGTTCGTGTACGTCGGCCGCTCGATGTCAAGGTTGCGGCGGCACACGTCGTACAGCGCCTCGTTGTCGAGGCAGAAAGTGCAGTCCGTGTGCTCCAGGAGGGCGTGCGTGGACAGCACCGAGTTGTACGGCTCCACCACCGCCGTCGCCACCTGCGGCGCCGGGGTGATGGCGAAGGAAAGCTTGGACTTGCGGCCGTAGTCCACCGACAGACGCTCAAGCAGGAGCGAGCCGAGCCCGGACCCGGTCCCGCCGCCGGTGGCGTGGAACACCAGGAAGCCCTGGAGGCCGGTGCAGTTGTCCGCCAGCTTGCGGATGCGGTCGAGCACCAGGTCCACGATCTCCTTGCCGATCGTGTAGTGACCGCGGGCGTAGTTGTTGGCCGCGTCCTCCTTGCCCGAGATGATCTGCTCGGGGTGGTACAGCTGGCGGTAGGTTCCTGTGCGGACTTCGTCGCACACGGTCGGCTCCAGGTCCACGTACACGGCGCGGGGCACGTGCTTACCCGCACCTGTTCGTTTGGTCGTCACATTCGTTAGTCATTGGCAGGATTCCATGTGGCGGGTAAGATAGATGACGGTCAACGGTACAGTCCAACTTAATATTTTCAGCGGTGCATCGCTCTTTTTTTCCAGGCTGTCGAAACTTTTCATTCCAGGTACAATTGTAGAACCTATAAGGCCTTGGTCGGGGGGGGGCAGATAGAAGACTTTCTGTACAATCTGCGGCACGAAATGGGATGCATCCATACCAAGTGGGTATGGCGTTATGCATTGTGAACAATCTCGGTTCGGTGAAGATGTTGCTTTTGTGAGAACAAGACGAAGGTGGAACAGGGAGAATTCGTTGTTCAAGAACGGTTTAGGATGACACGGAGAGGGATTTACTGCAGAAAGAAAAGGTAGTTGAAGCCGACAGGGTTCTTGATGAAATTGGAATTGGATCGGCGACGTACGAGGCACCGCTGGAGGACGGGGTAGGTCTGCTGCTGGAAGAAACGGCAATTGAAACTTAAGGACCCAATTATATTGATGGCTGACGCACAATGGAAAAACCTCCAGCTAAATTCGGAAAATGCTACATCGAAACACATGAAGCCACAGACGGTCGCACGCACTCAGCACCGCTCGTATGGCTGAAGAAATCCGGGGATTACATTGTACAACAACTGAGGCCCCTACATATAAAATAAAAAGTAGTGGAAGGAGTACGAACGCAATGTTCAAATGCTGGCATGGACTGAGCCTGCGATTGAAGGATATATGGCTGCTGGCTGTACAACCACATGTACGTAACCCCGTTGTACGTAACCAATGATGAAGGTACAGGTTGTAAAACCAAATCCACAACTCTTGGTAAGAATTATCTAAATTCAGCCAGGTTTTCTTGGTTTTAACGAAGCAAGTAGGCATCATTGTTATCCACAGCAGAGTCGTAGGGTAACGGCACACCCTGCGCTCCATCTGCGAGCGAAGGATCTATCCTGGTCACAAATTTGGTGGATGGTGAGGTAGGTGAACGATCAAAAAAGTGTCGATGTGCCTGCCGGTGGCTGAGAATCGTAGATGGAGCGCGTTGGACAGGGCCAGCTGCGGCGGAGGCAAGGTGAAGTGGTTGAAGTGAACTTCTTTGGAAAAATCGTGCAGATGATTAGCAGCTGTGATTCTGGTTGACCCATGTACACCTTTGGCATCGATATCTTTGCGATGTAGTCGTCATAAGAAGAGTATAGAAACGGCATAAAGCCTGAACCGTAGAGTAGTTCCCGTTGTATTCCGTCGTAAATGTGCAGCTTGTTTTGTCTGTTGTTCGTTACGTAGATTTTTGCACAACTTGGGCTCTAATATGGTGGTGCAGCTCAGGGTCTCCAAGAACACGTCGGGTTGTGGCTCTAAAACCACAGCTCCCATCCCCAACTTCAGGCTGCAGGACCCAGTGCGGTACGGGTGGAGGAGGGGGAGGAGGCGGAGGTGGCTTTGGAGGTGGAGGTGGAGAATGCGGAGGCAGAGAAGAATTGGGGGAAAGGTTGTTAGTGTCGCCTGTTGTTGCTTCTGTGAATGGAGAGGAAACAACATTCTCGGTGTAGGGAACATTTTGCATCATTGGAGAATTTGGTAGGAGAAGCATGATGGTGGATCGTGTTTGAGCGCGAGTTAAGGCGACATACAATTGACCATGAGCAAACGGCGAAGAACGTAAATCGAGGAGTATTTTTGTTAGCGTTTGGCGCTGGCTCGTGGTGATCGTCATTGCGTACGCTGTTCTCAGAGGGTATTGTATGCGCATGAAACTAATGCCATTCCTTCCCACTTGCGCAGGAAAACTAACTCTCGGGATAAATACGATTGGGCGAGGGCGTTCATCGGTGAGAAGTCCAACTTGAATGACACGACTATTTGGAGCCACACATTTCAGAATGCATATTTGCCCGTTGACCAAGCCCGGAAAAGTTAAGGTTTCTAATTATCATCGCAAGGCCGTTTGTCTTTAGCTTGAGTTGATGAGGATGAACACCAGCAACGTTAAGTGGACTGAGGTGTTCACGTGAAGCGAAAGCCGTGGGTGCAGAATTGTGATATCTTATGGGAGAGTCGGAGCTGAAGAACGATACAGAAGTCCCAGGGCGCTCATCGGATATGATGTCGTTTGAAAAATCATTTGCGTTGTTTTTTGTGGCCAACATAGCACGGTCGTTCCATGATGCAGCGTCTTCGGACATATCAGGATAGACGAAATGAACAAATTAATTGAAATCAGTTGTGTACTGCAATTGTAACTGGTCTGAGTCGTCCGTATGGTGATCGTTTAGTGGGAAAGAGGTTCTCACCATCAGGGAGGGTAGCTTAAAGCACGTGTCTTCCCCCACAAGCCTTACAAAGGAAGCGTAAGATGGGTCGTCTATATCCCGTTGAGACTTGGTAAGTCTAAAGCGAAAAATGTCCTTCCCAAGATGGCTTGAAATTACAGCTGCGTCGACGGTATCTGTTGGAGACCCAATCTTCACAACAGGGCCAGACTGTCTCCAATCTCCCGAGAAGAAAACAGTTTTACCACCGAAGAGTAAGTCGTTTCGCATAAGGTCCTTTATCGCTCTATCTAGAGCTCCAACACAGCAGTAGCGATGGGTCATGGGTAGTTCATCCCAGATCATGAGGTCGCTATTCTGGATTAGTTCGCGTTTAGGTTGCACACTTTAGGTTGCACACGCATGTGGGAGACATCTTTTCGTCCATTGGAAGTTGAAACATGGAGTGAGCTGTCCACCCACCTGGAAGTTTGAAAGCGGTTATCCCAGTGGAGGCGACAATCAAAACTGTTTTTACTTCCCGTCTTAGTTAAGCCGTAATGCATTGTTCCGTGTATGTTTTTCCAGTACCAGCTGGTGCATCTATCATACATGGATTTCCGCCATCGTTGTTGACAGAATCGAGGACTGTTGTGTACACGTGGAGCTGTTCAGCCGTGAGGTTGCGTTCGTGGATATCAGCGTATTCCTTACACTTGGTCATGTCGAATAAGTCTCTCATCCTTTGGAGCTCTGTTCTGGAATGCTGAGCAGCAGGAGGGTTTAGTTGCCCGCGTGTTTTTTCGTGTAGTTGAAGCTGAAGGTCGATTTCATTGAGCGCTTGCTGAATGGCTTCTTGAGGTGACATAACAAGAGCAAAATCCTCAATCAAGTAGTCTTTAAACTATGTCCGAAGCTTTGGTGCGGAACCTCCGTCCAAAATGAGTGTCACGAATAGGGCGCGAAGTTGGCTCGGCAAGTGGAAAGTGGCCGCTTCTTGCATGCAAATCGTGTCTTCCTCATCACCAGTTACTAAACCTCGAGATCTCGCGGCGTCATGGAAGGTCTCATTTTCAATAGGATTTGGATCAGACTGAGGAACATGGCGGAGCTCCCTGAATGACCTTCCTGGGATGGTGTGCAACAAAAGTCTGTAGGTAAAGTATGTCTCAAATGGCAGGACACTGGAACACCATTCGACACACGTGTTGATTGTTCTGCGATCTTCGAGAGATGATGTTGTTGTAGGAGTGTAGAAATTTTCCGGAGGGAGCGAATGTTCGTGAAGGCTGACCTTTCTTGGGCTTCGTGATGATGTACTTGTATTGCTCGAAGTAGACTAGCATTGTTAGTGGGGTAAAGATTTCGTCTTGTGGACGCGCGAAATACACCATTAGTTGAGATGGAGAGTTCTCAGCAATTTGAAGGCGCATCTCAGGAGTGGCGTTGTTGGGGGTATGTGACATATTGTTCACCAAATAAGCGTGCAGTTTTGTGACTGCAGGATACCTGCCCACTATTGTAAACCCGAGTAACCTCCACGTTGCTTCGGCCGCAGAGATATAGCGAGGCTTGCGGTATTGCTCAATTTAACTTGTGATTCCTTGGATTCTTGCTTTCGCGTAATCGGCGCCTTCGTGTACGTACTTGAACAGGTACTTTACGCATGCGGTTGCAGTAACAACGTCGACACACATGTGACAATCGAACATTAAAAGCAAATGGGGATTGTCGGGACGACCCCTTCGTTACCTATCCGGATATCCTGCCATTCCCGGTCAACTTTACGCGTACAGTTGGATGGTCACCATTGTCTATCCGTTTGTATTACGTTCTGTACGGTCGTCAGCGGTGGCTGTGCTGCGGAATGGCTGCGGATAATACTTACTGCAATGTTTCCTATTCGTTTCACGGTTGGTTTCCATGGAGAGTTAACATTGTGGGATCCGCACGGTTTGTCAGTCATGTACTACAGGACCCTTTCACGTAGAACATCAATAGCAACATCTTCGCTCGGAAGCTGAGCCCACACCCATTAATCTATTTGGTTTAATTGTTCGGGACCTGCATTTTGGAATGTCATGAGGATGTGCGCGTGAGGAAACCCTCTCTTTTGAAACTCTGTATAACTGAAAATTGCTGTCATTCTTCCAAAAGACCCTTCCGCTCTTCAACTCTTTCACCAAAGCACGCAACTTAAGCTTGGAACACTCAGCACCATAGATCAGGACGACTATATGCGTTTTGTCCTGGTGAAATATTTTCCTTTACCTCTTTCCAGTCTGAATTAAACGTCACGGTGATAAAAAAGTGAGGCTTACCCCTTCGATTAACCATGGCCAACGCGTCTTCAGTGTCTGATTTACGGTTGCTCATTGAACCTGGATGACTTGCAGGCAGGAGCTTTCCCGGCTGGGGGCCTGAAGAATTATCTCTTTCTGTAGCGAGGCGTCGTTGTAACGGGCTGAATTCCACAAAGGTTACACGGTCTTCTTGCATTCTACTCTAAGAGAAACGCAAGCCCATTCTTGAGCGATGCGAAAGTTTTTCTTTGAAAATTGGTTCGCGACGAAGACGTTGTCTGCAGTAGGAGGGAAAAGTTGACATGTTCCGTGTTTGAACGATTCATCGTCTTAGACTTGTTTGGTGGGTCTTCTTTCGGCTGCCCTTGCTCCATCCTGCCTCACTGTGAAGCATCAACAGAGGAAACTTAAGCGTCTCGTATG